GATCCAAAAGAGTTTTTTTACAAGTACCTTTGCTATTTTACTGAGATGGGTGGACAAGCTTAAAGCCCACCTACGACGTAAATGCACCACCCACCTTGAGATATAAGTTCTAAGGTCTCAGAATAGTTACAACGGCTGCCCCGCCCTTCAAACCGAAACGCATTACAGCTTCACGGCAGAAAAAGGTGGGGCGGTGGTATAAGCTAAGAAATTGAAACCAAATGAAGCGGGGGTCAACCGGCGATTGTGTTACACTGCCGACCGTCGGTGTCTAGCCTTTGCTTTACATTACGGTTTCATTAATTAAAAAAAAAACCGAAACTTTTAACTTTCAACTCAGCGCATGCGAACATGGTATAAACAAGATTTTACATTATTTATTTATTTATTATTTAGGTGGGTGGACAAGCTCACGGCTCACCTGATGTTCATTGGTTACCGGAGCCTATAGACATCTACAACGTAAATGCCTCCACCTACTTTCGAGATAATAGTTCTAAGGTCAGTTTTTACATTACAACGGCTGCCCCACCCTTCAAACCGAAACGCGTTACCGCTTCACGGCAGAAATAGGCAGGGCAATGGTACCTACCCGCGCGGACTCAAAACACATCCTAACACCATTAAATTAAAACATTTAAAAACTAAATACTACATTTCGTAACTTTCATTACATTATAGTGCCTAGGACTTCGTTGCATACGGGAGGCGAGTCTTCACAGGTCGGTTCAAATTGATAAAAGCCTAACACTCCACTACACAAAACATATGTTCACATGTTCACGGCACACCAAAAAATTCCTTTGTCCGAGGTCAACGACTCCCGTCTTCCTGGAGACTTATAAATATGTACAAGCTGTATAAACATTGTCTTCGTACCAACGTGAGGGATGAATGAAACGTTTACGCTGTCGAGAATAGGCGGAATAGGCAACCGTACTTTAATAATAGCTACTAGTGGTCCCGCGGTAGTCGAAATTCGACTATGTATAATTAATTGAAATTATAAGTTTGAACGTTATTATGGTTCTATTATCAAAGACTTATTATACTTCTTCTCTTATTATACTTATGACGAAACAGAGGCTAAACTAAATATAATAAAGTAAAACACACAGACAGACACACACACACACACACACACGCGCGCGCGCGCACACACACACACACATTTGTTATGTATAATTGGTAATATTATAGTATGTAAAGTGCTTTTATGGAAGAGCGGAGTCTCCTAGTACAGGCTTGCACGCTTAAAAGGAAACTCCAATCAATGTATTGTTTTGACTCGAATTTGAAAATAAAGAATTTTTGTATTTTTGTATTTTGTACTTCTATAATTACAGATTTCGTTAAGACTACACTGTAGACAAATAAACAATATTTACCTATTCTCAATTTGATCACAGACTAACAGAGCAACAAAAGTTTGACAATAAACATAGAGTATTCATATGCGTGTGTGTCAAGTACATGGTAGTGTGTGTAACGTTTTTTTTATTGGTATAATGTATTATTAATGCATAATTAAAAAAAAAATTACCATTCGGCACTCCTTCTCTTTAATCTCTATAAGTGTGGGAAATTTCATACTCCTCCGTCAAATCAATTTTCGTAAAAAGGGGGGTACAAAGTTTTTGCTTCACGTATTAATATATAATATAGATAATAACTGGGAACAAATCACGTATGGTCATCTGGCCCTAATTCAGGATTCCCTGTGAGTACTGACAAACACACTTATATATGTTTAAACGTATACATGTATAGTAAGCACCCAAGGTTTTTTTTATTGCTTAGATGGGTGGACGAACTCACAGTGCACCTGATGTTAAGTGATTACTGGAGCCCATAGACATCTGCAACGTAAATTCGCCACCCACCTTGAGATATAAGTCCTAAGGTCTCAGTATAGTTACAACGGCTGCCCCACCCTTCAAACCGAAACGCATTACAGCTTCACGGCAGAAATAGGCAGGGCGGTGGTACCGGCCCGTGCGGACTCACAAGAGGTCCTACCACCAGTAAAGGGCAAACAAAACTGTTAGTCACACGAATGTTTGCCCGAAGCGAGAATCGAACCCGCGACCCCGGCGCAAGTCAGGGATGTAAACTACCGCACCACTGAGCCAGTCAGTGTAACGCTGACTGATAAATATTATTCTTTTTGTGACGTCATCCGGAGACAAAAGAGGCGACAAGCTTAACCAAAGGGTACACACGCAAATACTGGAATAAGCTATTTAAAAAAAACTGTAGAATTGGTTAGTTTTGATTTTTAATATTAACAAGTTCTTATCAGTATCAGCCTACCGAGTTTCTCGCCGGATCTTCTCGGTGGGTCGCGTTTCCGATCCGGTGGTAGATTCAGCGAAGCACTGCCCCTTGCTAGAGTCAGTGTTAGTAAATTCTCTTAGGCTGAGTTCGTGAGCTCACCTACCCATCCGGGCGTAGCTGGAATAGCCCCTTAGGCTACCAGCGAATAGGTAACGTTATTCGTTTTTTTTAAAGCTGCGATCGTTAAAAACCCTATTTATTGGAACGGTTACTTTATCATCTAGATATGCTCACGCAAGGTATTTGGGGCTGTCACAGTTAGTGATTCCCTTGGACTCTTCGCCCAAGCATTCAGCTGTCACGCGGAAGAGATAGCATGAGCATTTAACATAAGTTAAGCCCAGTTTCCACCGAAGTGGTGTACGACAGAGACATCTCACCCAGATTAGCGTTGTGTATTCAAGTGGGTAGATGTATTATTTCCTGCTAGAGTGTTCTTCAGTCTCTATATGCTCATATGAAGGAATTTGTCGCTCCGCTTTTTTTTTCCTACCTATGCTGATAGCCTTGAGAGGCTATATCAGCTTCGCCCTAACATGTAGGTGAGCTCACGAAATTCAAACCGGAGTGGTGCTAACACTGGCCCTAGCAAGAGCAGTGCTTCGCAGAATCTACCGCCGGATGGGAAACGCGACCCACTGAGAAGATCCGGCGAGAAACTCAGTGGGCTGTGTCTGTGGGTTAAGCCCGCTTCGATGAAAACAAGACCGAAGATCGCAAGCGTCCCTACAGTAATCAAAGAACACGTCAAATTTCCGACTTGGCGGTTCGGTTTTTGCGAGATAATCTCTTATCAAGGTTGGCCGATCACATTGTTCTTCACGAGATCTGGCTTCATTTAAAACCTTATCAATCGCAATACATTACTGTTACATTAACACGCGTGGGAAAACAATACTTCTTATCGTCTTACCAGGCAACGATAAAACACGATCCAATATCGACAGAACGCATTGTATATCTCTAACGAGAGCCTTATTAATCTATTTTGTTTTTATTGAGGCGTATTACTGACGTCACATATAAGTTTTTACTTATTGCGCGGATGGCCAAATGAATTCATGGGCAATCCGGTGCCAGGAAACCATAACCATAGGAAACCATAAGGTGTCACAACGTTAAAACCGTCACCAACCTTGAGACATCCGATGTCAAGGTTTTATTGTGCAACGGCCTTCTCACCTTCCAAACTGGAAGCAATTATAAATGCTTCGTGGATATATTGGCCGTGCCTCTTTTTTCGGGCAAGGGCCCAAAGCTTACGAGGTGTCGCCTAGGGGGGACGCGGGACGATCTGCAGCTTTTCGGAGCAGATTGCAGGCCCAAGGATGTTTTTAGGATGGTAGAGCTTGGCGGTGCCTACTCGTATGGGCTTACAAGTTCAAATACGCAGCTTTTTTTTTCTCCTACCTATGCTGATAGCCTTGAGAAGCTATTTCAGCTTCACCCTAACGTGTGTAGGTGAGCTCACGGGGCTCAACCCGGAGTGTTGCTAACACTGACCCTAGCAAGAGCAGTGCTTCGCAGAATCTACCACCGGATCGAAAACGCGACCCACTGTGAAGATCCGGCGAGAAACTCAGTGGGCTATACGCAGCAATGTAATTAAGCACAATAATATCTTCATTGTGGAATTCGTTTGTGAATTGATTTAGTACATCAATTTCTATGCTCATGTTCGTTTCAATACTGGTGGTAGGTCCTCTTGTGAGTCCGCACCGGTAGTTACCACCACCCTGCCTATTTCTGCCGTGAAGCAGTGGATGCGTTTCGGTTTGAAGGGTGGGGCAACAGTTGTAACTATACTGAGACCTGAGAACTCTTATCTCAAGGTGGGTGGCGGCATTTACGTTGTAGATGTCTATGGGCTCCGGTAACCATTTAACACCAAATGAAATGTGATGTCGTCCACCCAACTATGCAATAAAAAAAAAAAAAAATATCCTTGGATAAATGCGAACGCAGTCGCATCGTATGATACGAATACACCAGCAGTCTTATCCTTTTGGGCCACTATGACTTCAAGTAGTACATAAATGAAAAAGTTTGAAATTTTTATTCATGTGTTGTTACCGGGATACAAGTTATTACTTTCAAACTCTAAAATGACCTCCGACAATCAGATGTCTATTGACCCCGGTTCTAAATATCTATTAATATCTAGTACCAAATAAAAAATTAAACTTATCATGTTATTATTCTGATCAGGTTGTTAGGTCAGTTTTATGGAATCATAATCAAAGTCATCCATCCACACTTGTGCAAATTTCCATGTTAACGCCTTGAAGTTTGTGAAAGTTTATTTGATAGATATAATACTGTCTGTAACCATTTTCACGATAGTAAAAGTTCAATTAAAAAAACTCAGATGCATTTTTACAGAAAACAGTTAAGCATTATGGGTATTTTTTTTCTTATGTTTTTGCTTAGCTGGATGGACGAGCTCACGGCCCATGACATGAATTCCAAGGTCACACTTTTAACAGTACAAAAGGTTTAAAAGATGGGACTTGTAATACAAATCATACTTCAAACTTGTGTCTTAACTTAAGTGGTGAATTTACATCAAGATGTCTATGACATTCCAGCCTGCTAGAAATGAAGTGATTGCGAGCACTTTAACTTGTCTATAACAATAAAAATTGTAAAAATTTTATACTCACGTTTACTGATATGTCGAGGGCTGAGAGGAGGACGATCACAATCAGTGTTAGCATAAGATCCAGTGGCCATGTTATTGTTATACTTCTTGACACTCTCCGCCCAGTCGTGAATCCAGGTCTTGTCACCCTTGCACCGGTTCATTGATATATAAGACAGTTGACCGACAGCCTGATCTGGTGTTATATCAGAAGACACTCCGCTATCATCCCTCATGGCCTTCTGAGCATTTCTCAGTGCTGTGCTTTCAAATTCTGCATTTTCCAACTTCAGTTTAGAGCTCGGTAGAGAAACAGGTACTGATGACTCTCTTGACAATCTGTGTATATAGTCAGTTTGGTCTATTTCTGATTTAGTTAAGCTACATCGCCTCCCTGATGACGTGACCAATTTCGAAGGGTTTTTCGAACTTAACACCCCTGAAGTTGTAACAGAGGTGAAGCTCCCAAAATCTGGTTCTTCACCGTGGATCGGTGGTGATTTTGCAAAAGTTTTCTCAGTTATAGTTCTCACTCTATTCTTTATTTTCTCTAAGTAGCTTCTAGTTGATTTAATTTGCTTAGATGTTTGTGTTGCAAGATCATTCTCAGTGGGCGATTCATAACAGCAAGAGATCTCTAGAACATTTTTGTCTTTAGATACTTTGGGGACATTAAAACCTTTATTTGCTTCCACTGGACTCCTGAGATATGTATCTCTTCTTGGCTCTTTTGTGATCACTCTCTGTGTGAAGTCTAAAATCAATTCAGGGTCTCTACTACGTTGTTTAAATATTTCTTCATCCTTGATCAATTTTGTATCAAAATTTCTGTCAATGCTCATTCTGGCCTTCTGCTCTTCCGTATAATTATCTCCTTCAATGGTGTATGTACCGGTCGAGGAGTTATTGGATTCCCTATCAACTTCATCATCAATATACAATGTTTCTTTTATCATGCACTTCTTGAATAGGTCAGGTGTCTCTGATGTGGCACGACCTTTTCTTGTTGATGGACTTTTATAGTGCTCAGGAGTGGGCACCCCATTATCAGGGGTCAATATGTCAAGTTCCGGGCTAGATATGTCTGTGAGAAGGACTGCTTCAGGACTTTCATCTACTATATGAGTCACTGGTCTTGTTTGATAAAGGTTATTGTAACTTGGTGTACGATGCATTTCCTTTGAATATGTGTTGCTCTTTAGAGGAAGATTAAGAGCTTGCCGAGACAAGTATGAATAATTGTCACTTCTTGACATTATACTGTCAACTATAGGACTCTTTGAGGCATGTTTTGTGCGTGCATCATTGACAGGAGATTTTATGTGCCTGTTTGTTATAGGACTATTAGTATGTGCTGGGTTTTGAGCTAAGGAGTTACGAATTTTGATAGAACCTGATAGACCACTATCCTCCTGATCTGATGAGAAGTAGCCTTCCGAATTGTAGCCCTGGGTCTTTCGAGGGAGTTTAGCGCTCATAGGTGGACGCTGGGCTGTGGGGCTCTGCCTAGTTAAACTTGCGGACATGGACTGAACTCTCTGATGACGCGCCTGAGACTTCTTAGCCAACTGCTCAAGTCTGCGATTGTCGACAGGTTTGCTCTCTCCAAAGTCGATCGTGAAGGCCATCGGGTGAATTTTGGGCGTGCTAGATTCAGATTTCTCATCCTGACCTACCTCAATCTCCTCTTTCAAACTTTGGCTTTCCGACGATGATTTCGACAACGTCGGATCCAAGGTCGTACTCTGCCCATCGGACACAGGGCTCGGAACGTCCGCCTCGACACTGACACTCATGTTTCACCAAGGATTCGAATAGAATAATCATGACATCATAACACTGAACTATCACGCAACGCTTTGTTTCACAATCACAATATAGCACTAGGAAAACACTAATAAAGAAAATATTAACGTAAATATTTAAAAAAGAAACTGTCGCTTGGAAAAGTGGAACGAGAGCGTTAAATAAATGAAATAAAATTGTAACGAGCTCCACCTACATTCGCGGAGTACAAACGCGAGCGAGTCAGCCCGATTCACAATCCGAATTCCAATAAATGTCACTCAACGTGACAGGTGTTTACTAATTAAGGTCATGGAAGCAACACTAACCACAATCCTAACGTTTGTATTATTTTTCCTTGTTCTAGATTTTATTCTAATAAGTAAAGAATATTGTAAACGAAACAAATTATTTTTAAGATTAAGGTTTTTAGGAAGCCTGTTCCAAGATTTGTTTTGATTTTAGAAATTTAAAAATATTTTATTCTTGGGAACACTTTCGTACAGATAATGTGTTACTAACTTTTAAAAATCAGATTAACACTTTTTGAGCTGAATTAATGATAAAATACAATTAAATAAATGTATATATATTTAGACATACTAAAATCGACAATATTTTAATTTTATTTGAAAATCCAAAGACTAACTCTCAATCGAACATTTTTTTAACGAAAAAAAGTAAAATAAATAAAATCATTTTCATTTCTCTTTTTTATTGTTGTCATCGATTTGTAGCCCGTAACGAGAAGAGCGAAGTTATTTGAATTGTTTTATTTTGTTAATTAGGTGTTTCTTCGTGTTTAGTGTAATACATAGCAGTAGTTTCTAAACTGCTTAGATTTGTACATATGAGTCGTCTATTATCAAAGGTGGCAATCTGTGTATTTGGACAAAAAAATGTTATTGATATGTCAATACAGATTGATTTGAATATAATCGTCTCCTTCAAAGAATACGGTTCAAAACCTGCATTAAATAAAGGTTAATACTTAACCTGTTATTTATCTAAGATGTCATTCAGAAGAGTTTTGTGACTGCCAATGGAATACAAAGTCAATAATTCGTTTTTCTGATTTACCAATNATTGATTTGAATATAATCGTCTCCTTCAAAGAATACGGTTCAAAACCTGCATTAAATAAAGGTTAATACTTAACCTGTTATTTATCTAAGATGTCATTCAGAAGAGTTTTGTGACTGCCAATGGAATACAAAGTCAATAATTCGTTTTTCTGATTTACCAATAATTGTCCAAAAGTCACATTGCCGGCTTTGATAATAGTCGACTCATATATATTAAGCACTAATGTGGGGTAATAAATAATTCCGTTATACGTAGCTTCTCGGGATTCCGACAAGATCTTCCAAAAAGTCCAGTGAACTAACTGAAACGCTCTGCAAATAACCACGATTTTACTGTGACTTTGTTTCATCCCATCTCAGCTCATTTCATTTATTTTTATCCTAATTGACTTAAGGCTCCAATTAATCAACTAAAACTCATTTCATTTCAAAAATCAAAAAGATATGAGAGAAACATGAAAACAGGCATAAACTTGTTACCCGTTACTCGGCAGCAAAATCTCTAAAAAAATCTCCTTTAATTTTTATCTGGTACCCACCGAAAAAAGAACATATTAATACGCGCATTTATTTAATGGCCTGTATTTTTATCTATTCGCCAAGTTGTATTTTATTAAAACATAATTTGTTATATGAGGTTAATTCAATCGAAGTTACGTGAAGGGGAATGATTTATCTAAAATTATAATAAACTCGAATGAAATTAAAGGACATGGAACAGGAAGACACACGAGAAGAGGCTGAGACGGCACGACTGGTGACTATTATTATAATATGCCGTCAACACCACGTCTCCCCCAAAATTCTAGATCTAAGGAGGAGGATTAGAACGACTGTCTCATCTCCCGCATCCCTGCTCCTACATGCAACCAAGTAAATACATAATCACATTAATCTCGCAGCAAGCTAACATTAAAACCTTTTCAGAAGCATCCTACTCACAATGAGCTTCCTTGCCTACGTTGAATTACAGTACTGATACTATATTCCATCTCAGTGTCCACTCACTCCGGACTTGATATTGGCACTTGCAATCTACTCTCAGCTCCATAGCACCATAGTCACTACCAACACCCTCGGTTTCAGGGGAGAATCCACATGGATTTCTCAAAACTCTCGCCAACACCAATTTCAAGAAACTATAACAACTTTCTGGCCGTAGTTCTACCTAGCAGAATACCCACTTGGTAGAAAATAACAACTTCTTTTGCTTTGCTTAAGTGATCTTATTTTTCAAAGCTAAGAACTACTAAGAAAAAAATGTTCAAAAACTAAGGTGACGGCGAAAGGGGATGGTTTAAAAAAGTTGGCATAAAAGAAAGCTTACTTTGTTGCTATCTAGTTTGAAGCTCTAAAACTAATAAAAACGAGAACCGTATTCTCCGTCTAGTCATAATTAACTCTAATAAAAGTGTGATCTACTATTCGTCACTTAAGAATTAACATCAAAAACATTAGCTATAGATTAAAGATAGCTTCACCGATTTATGCTAGCTCTACAGACAGTATGTCCTTAGCAGTCTGTGACTCTGTGGTCATTAATGTCATAAATTATGTTTATGTAACTGTCAACTACTACTCGTTTCAATCACAGATAATACAATTCTAGTGTCAATGAGACCAGTTCGGAAGCAATGAAACATGGCAGAAGCTATGTTTTCCGAAGACGGGAAATACTATTCAACAATTACGAAAGATGGCAGACTTAAGATATGGGATACGGAGACCAACGTACTCAAACAGGAATACACACCTGATCTTCACTTAACATCACCTCCTACGTGCCTACAGTGGACAACCGTCAGTCAATCAGTTGTAAGTGAAAAACACGTGGTTATACCAAAATAACATAATGAAATAGACATAAATCTTGATAGTTAACTACAATATTAACCTGTAATGTACATAATAAAGTTAGAACTTTAAAATTTTTAAACATTTCCCATTTATTTACGTGTAAGTAAATACATAGATAACCTCAAAGCTAACATTGTTTTCGCAGTCAAACTTAAAAGGGAACCGAAGCAATTCAAATGCAAGTACAAGCGAAAATGAGTCCCAATGCATAGTATTAGGCACTACAAATGGTAAACTGTTAATATACTCAATAAGTCAAGCGAAAATAATAAATGTTTGGGTGCCCGCCAAACATTTTAGCGCTAAAGTGACCGCCCTGGATTGGAGTAGAAAATACGGTTTGTACAGCTGTACTAAGGACAGTAGAGTCTATGAGTGGAACATAGAAGATGGTTCAGTTAAACAAACCTATAATATTTCTATTGAAAATAATACGAAGCAGGGAAGCAATATAAACGCCATAAAAATTATACCACACAATCAGGTGAGCTATATTTTCATATGTTTAAGTGCTTGACATTTACTTTTACTAGAGTATGGAATATAATGTACTTTGAAAAGCAATAACTAATATATGGCCTAATAAACAAGTGTATCAGTATCAGATTTAGTATAGACATGTAACTATGCCTTAGCTAGGTTGCTCGGACAGATAATGCCCCTGGACTCCTGTAATCTACTAGATGATAAAAAAATGTTTACCTAACTGTAGTACTTATGAAAACTATTTAATTATTCTCAGTCATATTATAATGTTGATGAAAGTAATGTTTACTTGATAATATTAATTGCTATTTTATGGAAAAAATCAACATTGAAAAGTAATTGCCTTCTACATAAGTCTAGGTAAATAACATTTTTAGTGAATAATAAAGAATAATATATAGCAGCATACATAGTGATATCTATGTATCCAGAATCTATCTATTGTGAGTCCACATGAGTATGTACCACAACCCTGCCTATTTCTGCCGTGAAGCAGTAATGCGTTTGAAGGGCATGGCAGCCGCTGTACTGTTAAAAGTGAGACCTTACAGCTGAAGTCTCAATGGGTGGTGGCATTTATGTTGTAATGTCTATAAGCTCCAGTAACCACTTAATACCAAGTGAGCTGTGAGCTCGTCCAACCATCTAAGCAATAAAAACAAAATAATAATACAAAAGACTCACTTAACAATACATGAGCTTAAGGCATTGGAGCCATTTTAAAAAAAGGAACCTATCACATGTTCTACCTTTTATTGTTCAATTCATTCGTGAGAATGATTCCTCGGGAAATTTCATTAATGTAGTAGTTTTTTTTTTTATGAATTTAAATATATTTTTTCCAGCACAAGAAATCCCGGTACTTAGTAACTGCGTCATATCAGCTCAGTCTTTGGAGGCTTCACAATAAAGATGTGACATTGATCAAGAGCTTAGGATACAGTACTTCGCAGACCGCTATTCTGTCACTTGTCAGTTTCAATGACGCATATTACATTGTTGAAGGATCAGAGTAAGTACAAAGCTCTTAATTATATACAATGTTTGACACATTGCTTAACTTTGTACATCCAACTTCCCCAAACTAGACTTTCCATTATGAATTATGTAATGGAAACAGATATACATTAAATTACTACTATCATGATCAAGGCACAAACCTTAATTTTAATGACCGCAAGCCAATTAATTGGCTTTTCAATTGGCAAAACTTATCAATAAATCAAATATTTTCTTTAGGTATCAATGATTATCTGTTTTGTTTGTAACTCTATACTAATCTCTTCATATCCTTATAATAGAGTATCTCTGTGAATATGCTAGTTTTTACTGAGGGACAACCTTAAACATTATGGCAGGTAACCCTCACAAAAACACAAGATATTTGACAGATGCCTGAATTATGACATTTTCAAGATAATTTTCCATATATGAGTCGACTATTATCAAAGCCGGCAATCTGACTTTTGGACAATGATTGGTAAATCAGAAAAACGAATTATTGATTTTGTATTCCATTGGCAGTCACAAAACTCTTCGGAACGACATCTTAGATAAATAACAGGTTAACTATTAACCTTTATTTAATGCAGGTTTTGAACCGTATTCTTTGAAGGAGACGATTATATTCANCGGCAATCTGACTTTTGGACAATGATTGGTAAATCAGAAAAACGAATTATTGATTTTGTATTCCATTGGCAGTCACAAAACTCTTCGGAACGACATCTTAGATAAATAACAGGTTAACTATTAACCTTTATTTAATGCAGGTTTTGAACCGTATTCTTTGAAGGAGACGATTATATTCAAATCAATCTGTATTGACATATCAATAAAAAATTTTTGTCCAAATGCGCAGATTGCCACCTTTGATAATAGACGACTCATATAAACAAGTTCTGAAGAACAACATTCGATCGTCGGTCTACCGAGCAATATCACGCTCGATAAAAGATCTTTCCTTCCCCAAAACATGAGTGGTCCGTAAAATGTTCATTAAACTGCTTCCTTACAGGAATGAACGTCTTCTATCGTTCTGGGACGTGACTGTTACTGATGAAAGCACTCAAAACAACAACGATGAGCCGACACCAAACAAACGTCACAAGAGAAAGCACAGTGCGGTGCCGGTCCAACCCACGCCCATGTACAGCTTCGTGCTCGAGGACGCACCGAGAGCAATTGACTCAGTACTCAGAGAAGGTGATGGGGTCCAGCTGAATATCGTCGCTGCTACGAGGAGCGGAGTTGTGCATTACTATCAGCATACTTTAAATGGGTAAGTAGTTCTGAATGATGTTACAATGAAGGTACTACGGGTGGTAGGACCTCGTATGAGTCCACGCGGGTAGGTACCACCACCCTGCCTATTTCTACCGTGAAGTAGCAATGCGTTTGGGTTTGAAGGGTGGGGCAGCCGTTGTAACTATACTTGAGATCACGCAGGTAGGTACCACCACCCTGCTTATTTCTTCCGTGAAGTAGTAATGCGTTTCGGTTTGAAGGGCGGAGCGCATGACGGACTGACATATACAACGTGACGACGGAATGAATGTTATAGTTTAAATTCGAAGTATTATTCCTGGTGGTAGGAAGTCTTGTAAGTCCGCACGGGTAGGTACCATCATCCTGCCTATTTTTGCCGTGAAGCAGTAATGCGTTTCGGTTTGAAGGATGGGGCAGCCGTTGTAACTATACTTGAGATCTTAGAACTTATATCTCAAGGTGGGTGGCGTACTTACGTTGTAGATGTCTATGGGCTCCAGTAACCACTTAACAGTAGGTGGGCTGTGAGCTCATCCACACATAGCAAGGTTTTATGAGTCCGCATAGGTAGATACCACCACCCTACTGCTATTTCTGCCGTGGAGCATTTCTGTTCGAAGGGCGGGTTACCCGTTCATACTATACATAGTGATACTGTAGAATTGAGACCTAGAACTCATGTTTCAAGGTGGGTGGCGGTATTTATGTTGTTGATGTCTAAGGACTCCGGCAACCACTTAACACTGCGTAGCTCATCCACCAATCTGAGCAATAAAAGAAGGAATTGGATAATGCAATTTTAATATAGGTCAGTTTAGGATATGTCATAATTATACTTTAGTGGTTACTGTAGACCAGTAAAAATACGTTTATTCTTTAAAATACAAAATATTGCCCATTTTTTTCTTAAGCATCCAAAGGATTGCACATTGTCCGAAATTAATTGCTTACAAGATGTCATTTATACAGCTTAACAGTTTCCTCATTCATCTAATCAGAACGTTTGATGGTTCCCCACAGAAATAATGTATGGTAGTGGTAGGGTAATGTAGGGAGGGTACCATCGGGTAGGATTATACTATGCCCCCATCACCAATAAAGCACTGCAAACACAATGTAATCCTTTTATTGTGAATCCCTTTCAGATCATCAACAAAACCAATAAAGCCATCATTAACTATACAAACAACGACAGCTGATGCCAAACCTCTACCGCTACAGTGCTGTCGGCTTCAGCAGGATGGAAACATCAATCTCGGATACCTCAACGATAGAGGGCTGGTTTTTGAGAAGATCGTTAGTATTAACATTAGTATCAGTACTATAAGTCTACCTGTCTGACTTCATGTGTATTGCTTCAGTATTAGTATCGTAATATTGTGAACCATGGTGGTAGATTCTGCGAAGCACTGCTCTTGCTAAGGTCAGTGTTAGCAACACCTCTGGTTTGAGTCTCGAGAGCTCACCTACACGTTACGGTAACACTGATATAGCCTCTCAAGGCCATCAGCATAGGTAGGAAAAAAAAAGTGAACCAATCCATACATCATATTAGGTGTAAGAGGGGAGTGAGCGAAGAAATGATATATGATAGAGGAGTAAGGAGAAAACATGTCGTGCCGTCCCCAAGTGATTAGAAAGGCAGGAGAATGATGATGAATCCATACATGACATTCTGTATAATTTTCATTGGACGTTTTTCATTTCAGACACCGGACTTAAAAACGAAAACTCAAGTACTGATCAGGGGCGACGTTAAAGAGAAAAAGAAAACCAAACAAAACGATAATTCACTGTTGAGAACGGAATTTCATAGTTCTGAGGCTACGTACCTGGACAACACCGCGGTGGCCCCCAGGAAACGAACGGCGCCGGGAGCGAACCCTAGTGTACGTATACCCTTGTGTATATTTTTTTTATTGCTTATATGGATGGATGAGCTCACAGCCCACCTGGTGTTAAGTGGTTACTTGAGCCCATAGACATCTACAACGTAAATGCGCCACTCACCTTGAGATATAAGTTCTAAGGTCTCAGGCATAGTTACAACGTTTGCCCCACCCTTCAAACCGAAACGCATTACTGCTTCACGGCAGAAATAGGCGGGGTGGTGGTACCTACCCGCGCGGATCCACATCCACAAGAGGTCCTACCACCAGTAATCAGACGTTTTGAAGCTAATAGATAGATTGATATATCGACACCTCCAACGTATGTTATCGTAACCAACAAATTTACGAAAGTGACATTTTTAGATTTTCAAATGCTTTATAACATAGATGATTTATCATTTCATTTAATAAAAAAAACATTATTTACAATAGAACCAAAGATACTAAGAGTGCATATTATCATATGTTCATCTTTACCGTAGTAATTTATCTTAAAATTAAAAAAACCTTTTTGGAAGTAATATTCCATTCCTAAAAATATATCTGTATGCCATTTTGATTCTTAAATGAGCTGATTTGACTTCACTGTCATCAATAATCTGCTTGCATACCTTTGAATTGCGATACTGTAAATTTCATAAAATACAGTTACGATATTATACATAGGAGGTGTCGATATACAAGTCAACCTGCTAAAAGGGTATTAAGTACAAACTTTATAAGTAAACTCAGCGAGATTGCGACCTGCATTTACTGTGTTTCTTGTTATCAGATCGAGGTCCCTATGGAAGCTCGCCTCCAGAACCTGGCTCTAGACGTGAACAGCAAGAGTAACGTTGCGGTCAATGAAAACCTCACCAAACTATTAATCCAGGGACTGCACTCGAAGGATAAGGAGTAAGTGCACTGTGGATCCCCGTCCAAGTTTTCTCAATTACTGTTCTAGACAGACGGTCCACCTTATGGGACATATTCACTGTCACACATGGTCATTGACAATAACTAGGAAACTGTTGATACTATTGATTAATGAAATAATCATGGATTGTTTGCGAGATAATACAGATGTATTAATGTAATTAAAATCTCAATTTTCTCTAAACGCAGGCACTTTATATTCTGGTTGTGGTATATATGAGCTTTGGAAGCTGCTTAGACTTAGATGAGCTTTAAATTGCACTGTCCACTGTAGGTAATGAGGGATTTACTTGTTGTGCGTATAAGTAAAGTCTTGTTAGAAACTCGTTGTGGAAAGGTTTTTTTTTTTTTTTTTTTATAACAACTAAGTGGCAAACGAGCAAGTCGGGTCACCTGATGGTAAGTGATTCACCGCCGCCCACGGTCACCACGGTTTACGCCAGTGCGTTGCCTACCCGTTGTTTTTGACGTTGATTTTGATTTTAATTAAAGCCCGTTGTGGATGAATAAAATCGATTCTAGGGCGTTTTGTGAGCTCACACGCGTAGGTACTACCGCACTGCTCGTTGCTGCCACTGAAGCAGTCATAATGGCCTGGACAGTTATACTATAGTACTATAGAACTAAGACTTAGAACTTATGTCTTAAGGTCGGTGGCGGAGTTTACGCTCTTGATGTCCATGGGCTCCGATAACCGCTTAGCACTAAATGGGCCGTGAGCAATTTAACCATTCTATCTAAGCAATATAAATAATACAACATGTTCCAGATGTATATTTTCAAAGTCAGTTTTTTCAAAATTTCTCCGGCCTATTCTTTTTGGCATAATATACCATTGTTATTCGTTTCATCACAAGTGCTTTGTAATATGTATACATTAATACGTGAAGCAAAAACTTTGTACCCCTTTTTACGAAAATTGCGCGGACGAAGGACTATGAAATTTCCCACACTTATAGGGAATATAGAGGAGTGCAGAATGTTAATATTTTTTAAATCATCTATGTATAAAAATACATTAAACCAATAAAAAAAACCATTACACACTTTGCCATGTATTTGAGACACACACGCATGTATACTATTTGCTTATTGTCAAACTCCTTATTGCTTACAGTCTGTGGTCAAATTGAGAATAGATTTAATATTGTTTGTCTTTATTAATATCTGTCTATAGTGTAGTCTTGGCGAAATCTGTGATTATAGAAGTATAATAATCCTTTGACAATATAATCATAATATTGTACAAACTTATAATTTTAATTAATTACAGTCGAATTTCGACTACTAAGAGACCACTAGTCTGTATAATGTTACATTTTACTCTTGCACCATCAGAGTGAGTTCGAAGAGGTTATTTTATTTATTAAATCAAAATGCAAGGTAGTTTAATAACCTAAAAGTACATACTATTATCCGCACCACACTGCGTCAGATCATTTTTAATTTTATTTTTATATTTTTAAAAAAAAGAACACAATATTCCTAACCTAAAAGTACATGTTATTATCCGCAACATGCTTCGTCAGATTACAGAAATAGAGTTATCAGCAACATGCTTCGTATCTATATATTAATACGTGAAGCAAAAACTTTGTATCCCTTTTTACGAAAATTGCGCGGACGGAGGAGTATGAAATTTTCGCCACTTATAGAGAATATAGAGAAGAAGTGCACAATGCTAATATTTTTTTTAAATAATGCTTAAAAGATACATTAAATCAATAAAGAAAACATTACATACACTACATACCATGTATTTGACGCACACACGCATGCATACTATTTATTGTCAAACTTTTGTTCTCGGCGTCTGTTGTCAAATTAAGAATAGATTAAATATTGTTTATCTTTGTTAATATTTTTTATAGTGGCGAATTTTGTAATTATAGAAATATAAAATACATTCATAATAGTGTACAAACTTACAATTCCAATTAATTATAGTCGAATTTCGACTACTGAGGGACCTCTAGTAATTATTATAAGGGAAATTAATAAGCGCTTTTTTTTTCAGTATCATCCTGACGGTCCTTCAGAAGAATGATCCCCGTGTGGCCAGGGTCACAGTCTCCAATCTGCCTCCGCAATATGTATTTATGCTTCTAGAACAACTAACCGAAATGTCCTTGAAGAAAACTAGCCAGTTAGTAATGATTTTCTTTTATATCAAATATATGAAACAGTTCCAACTACTTTGAATATTAGATAATATCTAAATACATTTTATTTTTATCATAGGGCATGCAAGGTCATCTGTTGATGAGGATTTTATGACCTGGTAACTAAGCCCTTTAAGTCATGTCTTATTTTAATTTATATTCTCATCTTTATGAGAAATGATAATATAGAATGAAGATAATTAATTTGAGACATTAATCAACAGGGATGAAATTAAATTAAATGAGATGAGATGATATGGGATGAAATATAATGTTAGTAAAATGGTGGTCATTTACTGAGATTTTTTCAGTGGACTTTTTGGAGGATCCCGGGAAGCTACGTGCAGTGGCTTTGTTTCATTTTCCCACATTTGTGCACTTTCACAGATATTAAACAGTTAATAAACCACCATTATTACACATTTAAACGTTGGTTATTTATTTAGTGTAGAATTCAATATATAAATAATTATTAAAATGAATAAACATACACGTCAGTGATAATGCCCTTGAAGATATTAAAGAATATAATATCAACCCATGTCCCCAAGTTTACTAGGATTATTTAAATATATAACATGTATTTATGAATTGGCATCATTGTAACTAGCTGTGTGCTCGCCGGCTTGAAACTCTTCTATCAGTCTCGACTTAGTTCAGAGTGAACATGAACATTGACAGTGACAATGTTTTCAATTTTGATACTTTAGTGTTCGCTAATGGCTTAACGAATTATGCAAGGCTGCTCTGAATCCTGGCGTGTTTTATATTGTTTAGGTTGGTGGACGAGCTCCCAGCCATCTAGTGTTAAGTGCTTACTGGAACCCATAGACATTACAACGTAAATGCCGCCACCCACCTTGAGATATAAGTTCTAAGGTCTCAGTATAGTTACAACGGCTACCCCGCCCTTCAAACAGAAACGCGTTACTGCTTCACGGCAGAAATAGGCAGGGCGGTGGTACCTACTCGTGCGGACTCACAAGACGTCCTACCACCAGTAAAATCATGTGGCTTGTTGGATGATAACGATAAAGTATAAAACTGTATTGATGTTAGCGTGTTTGTGACGTCACCGTTGTGTCCCGCAGGTGCGCGGCGGCGTGCGTGTGGGCGGGCGCGGCGCTGCGGGGGGCGGGGGGAGCGTTGGGGGGAGGGGGCGGAGGCGCGCTCGCCGCGTTACTCGCCGCACTCACCAACAGGTAAGACCGCCCCAGATTCCACTCCTTTAAGTTTCCTTTCACTAGCCCTACTTACTACTACCGCAGCTTTCCAACCATATCGACGCTTGAAAGGCAAACGTGACTAAGCGACAATAACTGTTTTATACATAAATGATAGGCAACAACCATATTCGATGCGCAAAAAAATATATATTTCTAGGTCTATTAAAATCATTTCAATCCTACAGCTAGATTCGTTAAAATAGATTTTTTTTCAGGTATTTCAACTTTTTAAACATAAACTAAATAATATTCCAAACAACCAAAAGCTCATATAATTATTTTTATAATAATTTTATTACTTAGCGAACGTTTTTATTCTTATCAACATAAATTATTATAATAAAATATGTTTCAAAATATCGTTCTATGATTTCCCAACACTATACATTGTCTTTGGTTACTCGTCGGCAATTGTTGTTTACTACATTTTTTGTTTTTTTTTTTCTAGTTAAATACAAAATAACATTATTTTCCGCAGTGCTGTATTGTAAAGAAATATAATGCTTTCAGATTTGTTGGGATGGATAATTGTTTGCGGACTCCCATTCTCAAAAAAGTGTTTGGGAGATGAGAGGAGTTAACATTGTATTGCTTAAAATGCTTTCGAATTTATAATTAGGTACCTCCTGAAGGTGGTAGAACTTTTTTGATTTTGTTTTGTTATAGAATCTATATATTAATACGTGAAGCAAAAACTTTGTATACCTTTTCACGAAAATTGCGCGGACGGAGGAGTATGAAATTTCCCACACTCATAGAGAATATAGAGAAGGAGTGCAGAATGTTAATGTTTTTGTAAACTATGCCTAAAAAATACATTAAATCTATAAAAAAAAACATTACATATGTATTTGACGCACACACGCATGCATACTATTTGTTTATTGTCAAACTTTTCTTATTGCTTATAGTATGTGGTCAAATTGAAAATAGATTTAATATTGTCTTTATTAATATTTGTCTATAGTGTAGTCTTGGTGAAATCTGTGATCAGGAGGTATAATAGTTTTTGACAATACTCGTAGAATCATAATAGCGAACAAACTTCCAATTTCAATTAATTATATAGTCCAAGATCCCACTGATTTTCTTTTAATATTAATAATTAATTGATATGAGTCAACTGTAAGAGAGAGATAGAGAGACACAGAAGTCAATATATTCTAATACATGTCTCACTCAGTCTCATGCGCGTGGATAATGCCCTCGCGCTTTTACCCACAGAGGTATTGGATTGAATTTAGGGGATGACTGGCCCCTTGGATCGGTCTGTCTTTTTGTAAGAGGTTTTAAAATAGTTGTCTGGTGGACGGACATATATAAAAATCAGCTTTCAGAATTTACGTGAAGTAGGTAATGATTTTATGTACATTGAGTACCTGATACCTGAAAATTGGCCGTCTAAGCAAGGTAGCAGGTAGGCATGCATTCTTAGTACATACTAACACTACGCAATCGGCCACATTACGTTCGTCAAAAAATACGTGACGTCTGGGGGCTCTGGGATCTTACTCTAATAGCCGAATATCGACTACCGGGCGACTGACTACTAGTAATGATAATTTTATGTTGTTATCCGCAGACGGTCACACCTATGTCAGCTGCTGAACCTGAAGGGCCGGCTGGAGCTGACGCTGACGCAGCGGCTGCTCGCGCTCGGAGCAGAGAAGCAAGACGAGCAAACTGCCGTACTTGATTATAATGGTGAGAAGTGTACACATTTTCTTTTATTTGGTGTGAAGTGTACACTTTTTTTTTTTATTTGGTGAGAAGTGTACACTTTTTTTTTTATATGGTGAGAAGTGTACACTTTTTTTTTATTTGGTGAGAAGTGTACTGTGTAAGCGTACGCTTGCGACGAAGGGCTCTACGAGTAAATTAACCCTCAGACACAGCCCATTGAGTTTCTCGCCGGATCTTCTCAGTGGGTCGCGTTTCCGATCCGGTGGTAGATTCTGCGAAGCACGGCTCTAGCTAGGGTTCGTGTTGGCAACATCGTCAGGTTTGAGCCCCGTGAGCTTACCTACTAGTAAAGGTTACGCTGATATAGCTTCTATCAAACTAGAACGAAAAAAAAAAAATGCTTCGCAGATTCTATGACCCACTATAAAATACGCTTCCCATGAACGCGAATAAGCGAACGAAGCTATATTTTTTCTTCAGACTCGTCAGACGAAGACAACGATGCGGATATGGAGCCCTCGCAGTCCGAGAGCGGCGCCTCCTGGGACGAGAGCGACGAACAACTCTCTGACGACGGAGATGTAGAAATAAGCGATGCAGAATAAATTATATTAGTTAAAAAAACGTTTTTTTTATTGCCTTTGCAGACACACGAGCACACGGCCCACCTGATGGTAAGCGGTTACCGTCGCCCATGAACATCAGCAATGCCAGGGGCAGAGCCAAACAGCTGCCTACCGTTGAGTACTCTCCACAAGCCTCGTTTGAAGAAGGACATGTCACAGCGCTCGGGAAACGCCGTGGAGGGAAGCTCATTCCAAACTAAATTCATAAAAAGACCAGTTTAATACTAGTAGTATTTAAATTGTCAACGATAGACCTTAATATTATTTTGGGTTATCCTGCGGATCGTACCAGACGTGAAAATATTCACATTGATAGAATGATTTTGAAAGCAAACTCTTCTATATTGGGATTGTTGCTCATATTTAGCTCGCACTGGCGGCACCCATACATAATACACATAAATTAGGGCAGACCCGCGGGGCGACCCACCTCAGCGATCGGTCGGCGACAGCTGATATGTAGTTCTTAAATATAGTGTATCTGTGGATATCTTATACCTTTAAACGAGCAATTCTTGTATATATAATATATAATCTGAATCTCGGGAACGGCTCCAACGATTTTCATAAAATTTAGTATACAGGGGATTTCGGGGGCGATAAATCGATCTAGCTACGATTTATTTTTAGAAAATGTTGTTTTATTCGTGTTTTCAATAATCAACTTTATGACTCTTCCCGACATGTATTGGCGAATAATTAGGTATACTATTTTTACTGCTTTAAAGACACAACAAGATGGCGTTATAAAAAAAAATAAGTCGAGCAAAGCTCGGTCATCATCTAGTGACTACTAATGAGACCGCGACCTTGTCTCAAAGCAATTTCCAAATGGTGGGCCTTGGCGTTGATCCATGGTGGAGGTCATCATGTTTTTGAAGTGAAACTTTAAGCGCGTCGAGAGTAAAATTTAACTCGAGACAGATTCGTTACGGCTAGAGAGAAAAGATACAATTTAGGAGAGTAAGAGTGAGAACATAGATAGAGCGTCTCGCGAACCACTCGACCGTGGAGAGAGAGGGAGAGGACAAAGCAAGCTTTTTCACTGGTGGTAGGACCTCTTGTGAGTCCGCACGTGTAGGTACCACCACCCCACCTATTTCTGCCGTGAAGCAGTAATGCGTTTCTGTTCGAAGGGTGGGGCAGCCGTTGTAACTATAGTGAGACCTTACAACTCATATCTCAAGGTGGGTGGCGCTTACGTTGTGGATGTCTATGGGTTCTAGTAACCACTTAACACCAGGTGGGCTGTGAGCTCGTCCACACATCTAGGCAATAAAAAAAAAACTAGGCTGTTTCTCTGTATCCTTCGCGACCGCTCGCGAGCATTCGTGTGTACGACAGCAAATGAATGAGCATAGTTCACCGCGCGGTCGCGACTTCAAGCAGTCCGTCTCAACTCCTTGAAGTAGTCCGTGTACGACTGGCCTAAGAAAGTGAGCTTATAGTCGGATTTTTTATTAGACGAAGTCAACTGACGTTTACTGTGTTGTCAGTTTTTGATGAAATAAAAATAGTGTTGTGACAAAGTGAACGATTGAAAAAACTCCTGAATTAATGAAATTACCTCGATTGTCTAGCGAATAGTTGGTGTACCGAATTGCCGATATCGAGTACGGGGTTCGAATTTTAGGCGTGCTTTGTACATACCAACGAGTTTTCGACGAAATATTATGTTCCTATAGTATCTACCTGTACTGAATACCGAGTGTTTTAAACATTAAGAAAAACATTGCGAGGAACCTTGTAAGACTGTCCTATTTCCAATACATCATATAGTTGAAATTATAGATGTATAAAATATAACAATTATAGGTAGGTAATGAAAATAAAATAAACTGATTGTAGTTACATACTACTAGTAACATATATTGGAGCACTTTAATACAATTTTATTGTAAAATATAAATAATATTCTTTTATAGTTTGAAATTAATGATTAACTCTTCACAATCATTGTTCATTCATGTGATTGAAGAGAACTGAACGCATCACTATTACTTTAAATATAGCAACATTATTTCACAAAGTGACATTAGCTACTGTCAGCTGGCTTCGTCTAATTAAAAATCCGACTATAGGTAGTTTCTCATAAACACATTCTGTTTACGGGCGTCGGTCACTAGATGGCTTGTTATTAGTTTCTCATTCCTCTTGTAGATGGCAGTAATATACTATATTATATTTAATGAGCGATTTTTCAAAAAAAGTATTTACTTCTCTACACATAGGTAGTTTAAAAATATATAAATAGTGAAGAGGTAGTTTCGATTATACACAACATTCCCTATCACGAGAGCACGGCCTACCTGGTGTTAAGTGGTTACCGGAGCCCATATATTGATGTACTTACTATACAACGTAAATACCGCCACACACCAAGATCTTAATTTTTACAGTAAGACTGCTCTGCTCTTTAAAACTAATTCGCATTGCTGCTTCACGACAGAAATAAGCAGAGGTGGTATACCCTACTACAAATTTTAGGTGGCCTGTCCAGCGGAGAAACGGAGAAAGATTATATATATATATATTAGATAAAATAGCACATAATCATTTTGCATTCTTATGATTTTGATTTTATGCAATCTTATTGCTTAATATTTCTCAGTTTCTCCGCTCCGGTGGACAGGCACGCTTAGTTTATAGAAAATATAAACTTATGGCAGTCACTGTGTACAACCAACAATAGCGTATTGTTACCAATAAAACACAAACATCAGTCGCACCGTCATATATTTCATTCGCTTACAAAAATATCAACATACATTTTACAAGTACGTCTTGCATCTTACACACTAAGAGCAGTTTTACAATCCATACAGATGAGAAACTTCTATGAGGATGGACGACACCGCCGCTAATGTAAGTACTTAGGTATATAATTATCATGCAAAACGGGGTGAAAAGTAGTGGTTGATGTATATAATGCTGTATCAGGCTCAAAATGATCGGGTCTTGGAGGTGTCTTTGTTATCCAATTTAAAACTAAATATATGAAAAAATAGATAATATCTCTATTCACCGAGCAATTTGAGATTAATGGGATGAAATTAATTAGTATCAAAGAAATTTGCTAGGGCTGGCACTACTTTGTTTTAATTGATTTATTTAGTTCCACCAACAAAGTGATCATCAATACAAAACATTGAAAAACTGACAAAAGCACATGGCAGATGTCACCTCAATGGGTGCAATCGACAATGAATTGACAATAAAATAAAAATATATACATAAATGACGCTTTAAGTCTCAATATAATTCACACCAGGTAAGTTATCAGTAAATCTTTTTATTTTTATTTTTATGCAAATTCGATCCAAACGTCCCTTTATTATTATGCGTAAGTCATAAGAATCAAGTGGATATCCCCACTCTGAACAAATATTAATATATTTGATTATGTATTCTTTTTTTGTGTCCACCTTGAGATTTCATTGTTCTTGTTACATGTCTGTGCAAAACAGACTTACTTATATTAAATTGCTTAGCTATTTCGACCTATTCCCAATTTCATAGGCTTCTATTGCTGTTTTTAATATTAAGGGATCATATCTCTTATAAAGCTTTGCACTCTTTAATACGTAAACGCTAGGCATATCTAAAATTAGAAAATAATACGTAACTGATAGTATAAATATTTGCCAAGCAATGACATAACACTGCATTTATCTATATCTATATATATAAAAATTAATTGCTGTTCTTAGTCTCGCTAAAACTCGGGAACGGCTGGACCGATTTGGCTAATTTTGGTCTTGAATTATTTGTGAAGTCCAGAGAAAGTTTAAAAGGTAGATAAAAATGTGAAAATGCTCGGAATTAAATAAAAATAACAATTTTGTTACACCCTTTGATGTGTCCCCCCCCCCATCGAACAGATTCCTTTTGTTTGTTTTAAGTTTATTTTATATAAAAGCTTAGGTCCTTTATTTATCAATTGAGGCATTACGTAGTCTGCCAGGTCAGCTAGTAATTAAATAAAAGTTCTAAACAAAAACATCACGAATAAACCAGATTCTTGCCTACAAATTAAAAAAAAGTGTTATCACTATGTAGACAACCCTACAAGCCTGTACATAAACTATTCACCTCTCAATCCCTATTCACCCCAATTTACGGTACATGTACAATTTAAAAATTCATGTTAGATTATGGGTATGATGTTTTCAGATTTTTATTTTTAAAGACTTGCATTTTACTGTATAAGCACGTCCTGCAACTAATTATGCACCATTTTAATGAACTTTAATAATGATTCAAGCATAATTCTCTTAAGAGATGTCCATGGTCACGTCTAACCTCAGCGTTTGCGTGCGCAAACTAAGCGCGATCGTGGGCCGCATCTTCACTATTCTTTTGCACAAGTACATTCAGTTCCTAACTGTATGGATTGTCGAATTGTGCTAAAACTTAACTAGGCACATACTTCATTAAACTAAGGAATACGAAACGGAGGTATGAACATCATTCCTGCTGCAAAACTTTTGCATTTCTTACCCATACATCAGAATGAGAATACCACTCATTAAAAAACAATGGTTTGATTAATTTTGTTTTGAACTTTCTTTTGGAGAGTTCAGATTCTTATTACAAGATTTCTTTCAATAACTGATCTAAAAATTATATGAATGAATCTGAGGAAAAAATAAAATAAGCAATCTTATTTGAGCTGTTTAAATGAAAAAAGAGGTAAATGCAATGTTTCTGTAAAGTATCATCTTCGCCTTTGTTACGAAGTTAAGCGCAATCGATCACATATACAGTCTGTGAATTAGTTAGATAAACGTAGCTTTTAAAACTTTTAAACTTGTTGACTGTTTTGTAGATTTGATTGGTTTGGTGATTAAATTCGAGAAATAGTAATTATCGAACTAGAATTGGTGCAATTTATTTATCTTTTGTACTTTAATGTACTAGAAATATAACTGCTAGTAACAATTTACTTTCCAGGAAAAATGAAGCTCATTTTTATTTAGGCATTCTCCAGATTCAACCAATTTACATTATCAAAAATGGTTTAATTTGCAGTTAAAATTCTTGAATACTACTGATACTAGTTGTACATATATTGAAATCAGTTTTACCCAGAGTTGAAGCATTATTACTTCACACTAATCTTAACAATAATTAACTAACAAACTATATTTACAAAACAATTATTTCTTAGGCGGTGGTCTGAAGACTCCGACGACAACAGCGTGATCTCTTTCGTAGGGCTCCAATGTCAACTGTTCTTGCGGTTTTAATTTGTCCGCCTGTAATTTCTTTACTTCTGCTGCGAATACTGCTTCGGGCTGAGCAGTTGAGTCTATACAGGATGCCTGTAAAGATATTTCAGGTTAGAATTGTTAAAACCATTGTTTAATTAATGGGAGTTCTATCTTTCGTGTATCAGTGAGAGAGTTCAATTTTCAACATGAAAAATTTAGCATTTTGTTGTCATCACTTTATTAGCATTTAACACTAACTGATATTTAAGAATATATTTATTGATATAGTATAGTATTTAAGTATGGAGTCCCGAGATTGAAATAGTATTTGATGTACAAATACGCATTTGTATATGGGCAAGTTTGTGAAGTAATTCATTGATTATTTTTTCATAGCATTCGTATCAAAATGTTATGCAAACTATGAACAAATGACTTTCATGAGGGTTCTCAGACAGTCATGTACTACTGATTAAGATTGCGCTGACACAAAACAGAGATTAGAGTCTGTGGGCTGATAGAATAAAATAGAAAAAAAAAAAAACATGACATTAAACTGTAAAAGTAACTTAAAATATAATTATATTACATACCTTAATTGAGATAACAAAATGTCCGCCATTCTTCAAAAAATGCTGTGCATTCAAACTGACAATCCTAGCTTGGTCGGGTTGCGCGACATCAGCGAATATTGTGTCCACCATACCAACTAACATTCTATAAAAATACAAAATAAATATTTAAGAAACTTTGAAATGTGATGAAACATACTTTTTTTTATGAAATTATATCAGAGAGAGAGTTCAAATGAGTTTCAACATGAAATATTTAGTTTGTGAGATTCATCAAGCAAAAATTTTTTTTGTATCATGAATATACTTGAAACAAATTTAAATGTTAAAAAATCCGTACCTGTATTTTAAAGGATGTCTAGCGTCTTCTATAATAGGTATAATATTGGTTCTCTTCTTGGCAACATTTATTAAATCTCTGCCGGATCTGTGAGAGAACTCGACAGCATAAACGAGACCTTCCTGTGTAAAAAATAAAAATGATTTTTAAATATACTTTGTCTTCAATTCCAAAAAGTTTTAGAATATATTAAATATTCAGCTTAGTGGGTAGTGAATAGTCTAGTCTTCACGAATAGGTCTGCAGATGCATTTTCATCATAATTTGAATTTCAAAAGATCAAATTAATTTTATTAGCACTAATCTATTTTAAAGACAATTTATTGAGATATTACCTTCAGATAAATTGACAGGATAACAATGTAATTGGGCTTATATAAACTACCAAAATACATTTACTTAACAACTCTACTGGTGTTAGGAAGTCTTATGAGTCCACATGGGTAGGTACCACTGCCCTGCCTATTTTTCAGCCGTGAAGCAGTAATGCGTTTCGGTTTGGAGGGTGGGGCAGCCGTTGTAACAATACTAGAGACCTTAGATCTTATACCTCAAGGTGGGTGGCGCATTTACGTTGTAGATGTCTATGGGCTCCAGTAACCACTTAACACCGGGTGGGCTGTGAGCTCGTCCACCCATCTAAGTAATAAAATAAAAACTTCGTGATATATTTANTATTTCAGCCGTGAAGCAGTAATGCGTTTCGGTTTGGAGGGTGGGGCAGCCGTTGTAACAATACTAGAGACCTTAGATCTTATACCTCAAGGTGGGTGGCGCATTTACGTTGTAGATGTCTATGGGCTCCAGTAACCACTTAACACCGGGTGGGCTGTGAGCTCGTCCACCCATCTAAGTAATAAAATAAAAACTTCGTGACATATTTAAACTTACTGGTCCCACAACATCCGAGACATGACTGACTGTTGTTCCACTGGCAGCTCCGAGATACAAAACTCTTGACCCAGGGGCCATGTGTATAGCATCCACTCCACCCATAATTGCAGCTGCCAATTTCGATCTGAACGGATTCCAGACTCTGTACTCCACCTTATCACCTTCGTTCTGAAATTGCTCAGAGCGGTTAGTGGAGTTCCTTTGGTAAGACAAAACATGTTTTAGTATTTTTTGTATCAATCAGTAGTGGGTATGTGGACATAGTCTTCACGGATAGGTCTAGATTAGAGGGACCATAATCATCATTTGAATGTAATGTAATGATGCAAAGTTAATGAATACTCTTTACACAAAGCATTGAAAAATACAGATTAATCATGGATTTATCATTTCATGAAATCAGATTATAAAGCCATCAACTGTCAAACATGAAAGCTATTGAAATATAATTGTGTTAAATGGTACTACAGTCAATCAAAACTATTATGAAATGGTTTCTTTGCATTGAAAAGTTCATTCAATCAACATACATGAATTTAAACTGGATGAAATTTGTTACAGATCTTTATACTACACCCAATTCAGTATAACAAACTCTACTTATTTTTACTAACCTCAACTGATATTCTCTTTTCACCATAAACTTCTGATCCTGGCACTAGATTTTTAGTGACCAACGCATCTTCTTTGCCCCTAGCTATGAATACTCCTGGATGCCTAAAAAAAAAACCAAAACTTTGAACAAAGTTTTTTTTTTAATGTCAGTTGCGATTGACCAAGGATAAATAATCAGAAACAAAATTTAGCTTCAAGCGTTCGCTTTCAGAAGAACGAAAGTTATTGTTTGTAAACATCATTTAAACAATAAATTACATTTAAACATTAATTTAACAACCCTTTTAATCTGTATTGTAGATCTTCTTTTGATCAATTGATCTTATGCTAAACAAGTGGTTTAAATATATTCTGCCAACTGTCAATATGAGTTCCAATTATTTCAGGTTCCGTATATGTTATAGCTATTACGAAATGAGTAACCATGTAGATGCCCATGATAAAAAAAGACAATTGTAATAAGCATGTCGATAACAACTAGAGTATAATTGAAAAAATTTCTCTCAATTATACATATATTACTTATAAATTATAGTATTACGATGTAATGTAGAAAAGTCACTTGAAGGCAACTATCCTTGGGTTCCAGTTATTTCATGTTTCACATATGTTATAGCTATCACCAAACGAGTAACCACATAGATGCCTAAGATCAAAAAAGACAATTGCAATAAGTATGCCAATAACAACTAGACTATAATTGAAATATTTTCTCTCAATTATAAATATTTTACTTGTAAATTAGTATGATGTTGTAGCAAGAGAAGAGTCATTTGAAGGCATCTCTTCATGAATTTGCATCAATATTTTTAATCAACTAATACAAACCTGTGTGGTTCAATTATGACTTGTTTTCCGCCTTTGAAGCCTCCCCTGCTCGGGGGACCACCACGACCACGACCACGGCCTAAAACAAACCAACTCCTCAATAAAATATTATCATAACATTTTGTCATACATCAGTGGCTGTTCAATCAGAAGTGGGTATGTGGTATCATAGTCTTCACGAATAGGTCGAGATTAGAGGGACCGTTTGATCATCATGTTGATTAGTGAAATAAATTTGAATAGAATACTAAATGGTTTACTAAATTTATTATAGGCATTTGTAGTAGCTCACCTTTTCTTTATCAAAATAACTAGATATTAAAATATACATTAAGTTATTTTGATAACGAAAAGGTACTTATTATATCGAGCAAAATCTATTTCACTTTACTATTATTTACTCTCATGGGAATTAATTATGTTTGACACGTGGTGGTTGTCACTTTAGTTTTTTCGCTTTAGTAGGTTATCGAAGTAATTTCTTACCTCCACCACCTCTACCTCCGAAGCCACGGCCCCCACCTCCGCCTCTCTTCTCGAACTTGCCGCCACCGCCGCCTCCACGGCCGCCACCGAAGCCACCTCGGCCTCCGCCACCGCCGCGACCTCCACGGAAACCGCCGCGACCGCCGCCTCCTCCGCGACCGCCATTAAATTCTAGACATAAAAAATAATTACACTTTGTAATTATCGGGCATCGGCGCAACGTGGTGCCGAACGTATAACCTCAAAAGACTGGCATTTGTATTGGTAACAGTTTAGTTACTAGCTCAATTTTGTTAAAATTTGTTTATTCAAATTCATAACTAATGGTTAAAAAAATTACATTATTACGTAGTTTATTACATCTGAATGAAAATAAGTGGCAATTTTCGAAAAGTTTCTTCTATAGTGTTTTTTTGTCTTTTAAAACTTATTTACAGGATATATTTCAGTATTGGTATTTGGAAAACTTCAAGTAAATTACACAATTTCATTCTTAAACTGCATAACGTGAGCACGAGTACACGCGGTAACCACGCGTGGTATTAACGGACAATATTATTAAAAAAGTATTAACTTACCAGGTTTGCCCATTCTTAGAGTAAAACCAATTCACATCAATTCACAATTAACTTAACTACTTTAGAACTACCCAGGTACAACTTTAAAGTTATTAAACTTAAAAACGCTAGCGGAGCTATGCCGCCGCGCTACCTCTTCCGGAAATGAGACCATTTCAAATGATCGATGTTGCCAAGCCAGATAAAAGAGTAATACCAATGCTCTTTTTTTTTAAAGGTATTTTATGACCTGGTAACTAAAACTTTTAGGCCATGTCGTATTTTAATTTATATTCTTATTTTTATGCAAAATGTTAACATGGAGTGAAATGAAATAAAATGAAGATATTTAATTTGAGACATTAATCAACTGGGATGAAATGAGATGAGATGATATGGGATGAATATAATCTCAGTAAAATTGTGGTCATTTACTGAGACTTTTTCAGTGGACTTTTTGTTGTATCCCGAGAAGTTACGTCCAGTGGCTTTGTTTTATTTTCCCACATATGTGCACTTTCACAGATACTAAATAGTTAATATACCACCGTTATTACACATTTAAACGTGAAGAAACACTAAATAGACAAAATAAAACAAATCACACAACTTCACACCTCGCGTTCCCGCCAAAAAATCAACTGCTCTTTTTTTATAGATTTTATGACCTGGTAACTAAGACCTTTAAGTCATAACTTATTTTAATGTATATTCTTATTTTTATAAAAAATGATAATATGGAGTGGAGTGAAATGAAATGAAGATGTTTAATTTGAGACACTAATCAACTGGGATGAAATTAAATGAGATGAGATGATATGGGATGAAATATAATCTCAGTAAAATGGAGGTCATTTGCTGAAATTTTTTCAGTGGAATTTTTGGAGGATCCCGAGAAGTTACGTCTAGCGACTTTCCATCATTTTCCCACATTTGCGCACTTTCACAGATATTAAATAGTTAATAAACCACCGGTATTACACATGTAAACCTGAAGAAACACTAAATCGACAAAATAAAACAAATCACACAACTTCACTCCTCGCGTTCCCGCCAAAAAATCCACCGCTCTTTTTTATGGATTTTATGACCTGGTAACTAAGACCTTTAAGTCATAACTTATTTTAATTTATATTCTTATTTTTATGAAAAATGATAATATGGAGTAGAGTGAAATGAAATGAAGATGTTTAATTTGAGACACTAATCAACTGGGATAAAATGAAATGAGATGAGATGATATGGGATGAAATATAATCTCAGTAAAATGGAGGTCATTTGCTGAAATTTTTTCAGTGGAATTTTTGGAGGATCCCGAAAAGTTCCGTCTAGCGACTTTCTATCATTTTCCCACATTTGCGCACTTTCACAGATATTAAATAGTTAATAAACCACCGTTATTACACATTTAAACCTGAAGAAATACCAAATAGACCAAATAAAACAAATCACACAACTTCACTCCTCGCGTTCCCGCCAAAAAGTCAGCAACGCTCATAAAATGTAGAAATCATAGATATGTAGAAATCATATTGGGGTGGCTATCTCATAAATGAATTCGATGGTGCCACATAATCTACTGAGAGTGCCAATAATCTATTTAAAAATTAACTTAAAGTTACGGTTTTATCTTCGATCGTTGATCGAAGGGTTTTTTGAAATAAATTTAGTTTTTAATATAGCCCCATTATATTTATGTTTTTGTCGGTGATAATTTTCATGTTCCGAATTATTTTTCATCGCAATTTTCCCGCTTCCTAAATAGGTACTTATTGAAATTGTTCCATCTAAGAAGCGTAGTCCATACAACAGTAGTGGTTTTTGTTACTGCCGCAACCTCGTCTATAGCGATGCATACCAAGTATAAGCTACTTCATAGAGGTTGCGAAATCTATCACCACAACTGTGTGGAATGATTTCAATCGATTTGCAAAGAACTTCGAATGAAACAACATAAATGAATTGAGGAACACAGCGATAGAAAAGACAGAAGGTAAAACAGCTTGTAATTTAACAAAAACATGTAACTTGGATATAACATATTTTTTAAATATGATTTAAACCTTGAAAGCATGCTAGATGAAAGTTTTAAGCCCTTTAAAATTTAACTTAAGTCCGTTATATATTAATTTATTTATTGCTTGTGGGTAGACGATCTCACGGCCCACCCGATGTTAAGTGGTTACCGGAGCCCATATACATCTATAACGGCTGTCCTACCCTACAAACAGAAACGCACGTCCAAACCTCGCACGAGACAGAACTCATGAAAAGGCAAAGGGGGGAAGTGAAGCTTTTAGTGTGAATATCTCCATCTCTCCCATAACCCTCCTCGGGACGCAGGACCGGCGGTCGTCAGCGCCACGACCACCAGCCCTCTCGGTCGGCAGGCTATTTGAAGCCCGCCTAGAACCCGGTGGTGGTAGTCCCTCTGTGCAAGCTCATAAGACGCTCTAGCTACCTACTCGGAAAGGATGACAATTACTTCACATCGTTGCCTACGGTTGTAAATACCGCCACCCTATTTTAACCATATCATGGAGAATACCATAGATAATAAATTTAATATTTGAGATATAATACTATGGAGGGTAGAGGTAAGGAGAACCGTCTCATATGGGAGAATCTTGAAAAAGTGTCCCACTTTCAGCACTAAATAACAGTTCAAAAATCCTCCAGAATGGCGCTAGCATAGGCACAGGGTATGAAGATATGAATTGAGCAGTTGTTAAATGATTGAAGTATGCTGAGTTAGGAAATTTAATGACTAGAGTAGTTGGTGACTCCAAACTAAGTAGTCAAAACTAACTTCGTCAATATAACCTAAAATTATTGATTTGGTAAAACGTGGAGACATCGATTGCCTTTTCCTATCAGCTTTAAATAAAATTCTTTTTGCGATTTTGCGGTGCTTACAGTTCCTTCGTCCTTTTTTATTTCTCTATCTTATTCTAATAACTTTCAGCGTCTTCCTTTAAATTTACCCGGTTGCTAATGTAGCGCCATCCTTATTTAGCAGATTTGAATGGACACTTTTTCACAAACAGAGGCGGTTCTCCTTTCATCTACCCTCCATAGGACCAGTGTTATTTTATTGAAGAGAACATTAATAAAACGCAAAAATTCTTAAAATAAACTTTATTAACATCTCTCAGACAAAATATATTTCTTTTTATTGTCCTAACATACAACTTAACTAAGGAATGATTGAACTTTTTTTTACAGAGACTGTCTCGTGACTCTCAGTCACGATTGTTCTAGAAGCTCGATACGGGACTGATAATGTCCTGTATAACTTACATAACCTTAATTTCTAACCTTAAAAATCTAAAAAAAATGCTTTAACTTTGATCCTTAAAATACCTGCAACAATAAAATACTTTTTTGTTCTTTTTTATTCAAACCTTTGCACGATTTGACAGGTGACGTACCGAATCTGTCAATTTCTTTAAACTACAGAATCAGAGCAAAGGCCTCCCGACTTTTAGTTTTATTTATTTGGTTTTAAAAATCTAATCTTTAGTTAATAGGTAATATAGATATGAAAACCAAATGGCCAACCGTAACCTAAGATATCACATTCATCAATTCGTAACACGAAGTCATACAAAAAGTACATGATTTAAAATTAAAGAGTACATACACGTTTGGTATGCGCTTGACGCAAGCATCAGCGTCTGCTATTAGATGAGAACATAATCGACAAGCCTATTGGTATTTTGTAAATCTTTTAAGTGTTCTCTCTCGGCCGGTATCAGAAATTCAAGTCGCGCTAATAATATTTTCTAGAAGTTTCTGTGTTAATATTATCTGTGGCGAAGATATGAACTCAAATTCAAATTCCGTTCCGTTTCAAATTCCAAGTGCATTCAATTACTTGCGGATCGAATGGTCTTGTTTTATAATTATCATGTAGATCTTGAAATTTTCTTTTGCGCATCTAACTAGCCGATAAACGTTTCGGTACAATCGTAAATCAATATTTTGATAGTTTTGTGAGCAAATAAACATTAATACAACACTCTCACGACTAAACTAACGGTCAGTGGAAATGTTCATGTTTTATTGGTGTTCAGAGTATATTCGGAATCCGTCTATAAACTGTATACCTAGGGATAGTCTGTATTGTTTGTATTATCTGTGGTCGCTTAGCGGTCAAACAAAAGTTGCACTTGAGACTTCTTGGCGGGAACCAAATAGCCTTTCACCCCTCCATAATATGTAAATTGGTCTCTACAAGTCGTGAAAATCAAAGTGTCTAACTCTATAGATATCCAGTCATAGCTTCTAATCGTTGGGCGGTATGAAATCTTTAGTTAAAATAATCACCGCTATGAACATTTCCACTTCGCTAGAATATCAAGTTTAGCTCGCGAGCTGACTCTGCGCGTCTTCGAGGGGTTCAGTTTTGACTGACACGTGCATCGGTTGATTCGTGCTCGACAGTGCGGGGGCGGCCTTAGATCGTTCCAAGTTGTACATCTGTGGAATTAGATATTAAAATTAGTTTGGGAAACGGTGATCAGATCAGAGACATGTGTACAAATGTGGAATATGCCGAAATTTCAACGCTTAACCATTATAACCAATCTTTTTTTCTTGACTATCTCAACTTTGACTTGACATTAACAGGTTTAATCATTGACAAGCAAAATGTTGCCACTATGTAAAAAAGAAAACTCACAAAGCTATTCTTCAGTCAGCAAGAATAGTAAAACAATTTTTTTTTATTGCCCTTGTAAGCAGACGTTCACACGGCCCATCTGATGGTGAGTGGTTACCGTCGCTCATGGACATCAGCAATGCCAGGGGCAGGCCAAGCCGCTGCCTACTGTTATTAACCGAAAAATTACTTTTGTGTTCTACATATCGCGCAATCCCAACATAAGAATTTAAGTGTATATATCTATAATTAAGCTCTCTTGGCCCTTCATAACATTTAAATTTCCCGTGCATTAGCTTCGACTATCATAATAGTATTATCTATGGTGGAAGCTATGTTCATTCTATGATTGGGAAAATTGCTCTCTGGCTTTGCACATTCAAAAAGATCAGATTAAAAAAAAAGTTTAAATATTGAAGCAAACGCTTTCAATGTTGTTTCCCTTTGCAGGTTCGAAAATAATTATAATAATTGTAAGTGTAAGTCTAAGCTAATAAATTGTAATAAATTTGAATTAAAGATAGTGTAAGAAAAAAATATTTTATTGTAAAAAACCGTGGGGTGCTTTTCAGGATATTATCAAAATAACCCCTCTACTCATATCTGTTCATAAAATATTTATAACTACTGATACCATGCACCCCACGCTTTTTTTACAATAAAATCATTTTTCTGCACTATTTTTAATTCAAATTTATTAAAATTTATTTTCTATTTTTTAGTCGGATTTTCTATAAAAGGGTATTTTGTTTGTTTTTTAAACTATTATGTATTTATTTTTCATTTTTTAGTTGAAATTTCAATTTTTTCAATATATTTTTTTAATATTTAATTGTCTTCGGTCCTTAATAAGTATACCAAATTTCGAGTTAATCCAGCGTTTTGAAGGGGGTCAAAATCATGTTCAAAGATTCCCATACAAACATACATACGTCTGAAGCTAATAAAAGCGTATTAATAAAATAATAATAAATAACTTTTTACAGAGCAACAACTTGATTTTTTGTTTTAACTCATTACATCTTTATCACGTCATTTCAGATCCTCCCGATCCACTAACGGTGCTTTTAGGTACCCCAAGCACCGGTCATCGTTCTCGTCGAACCCGACGCTTGCGACGAAGGGCTCCACGAGTAAATTAACCCACAGACCCATCCCACTGAGTTTCTCGCCGGATCTTCTCAGTGGGTCGCGTTTCCGATCCATTGGTAGATTCTGCGAAGCCCGGCTCTTGCTAGGGTTCGTGTTAGCAACACTCCAGTTTGAGCCCCGTGAGCTCACCTACTAGTTGAGGTTATGTGGGAGGCTTAAACGACAAAGGGAAGATCTGCCACCGAGCGGGTGTTATTGCTCGGTAGGCCGACGGTCCGAATGTTATTGTTCGGAACTTGTATACATGCAAGCTTATCTTGAAAATATCGTAAGCGAGATTCACGCATCTGTCAAATATCTTGCGTTTTGTATGATGGCTACCCGCCACAGTTAAGCTGAAATAGCTTCTCAAGGCTATCAGCTTAGGTAGGAAAAAAAAAATTATCTTTATAGACGGATCGGTGTACCTTCATAAACAGTGGCGTAGACATCTGCGCGACACTGGTCACCTGTATGAGGGACTCGTCCATCTCCGACATCCGCGGTACTTCCACGGGAGAAACCTTCAACTTGGGGCACTGCTTCCTCGAGAGCTGCTCTTCGTCAGAGTCCGACGGCGGTGGGCGGATCTGACAATTAAATAAACTAAGATTATATAAAAAAAAAAACTGTAGATTTTTTTCTTTGATTCAAGTCAAAGTGGCTTTGCGTTTTATATGTAAGTAGCGGTCCGCTCTGGCTTCGCTCGGGTCTTTAACAAAAATCTCAACAATATTTGACGTTGTTTTATTTTTTTAAATAAAAGAGCACTTATTGCGGCATAACTATAATAGTTTTTTGTAAATAATAATTCTACAAAGTCGTAGTACATTATTTTATTCTATCATCAATAGTTTTCCCAGGGCACGCGATGTAAAGAATATTTTAGGTATTTTTTTTTACACCTTGGGTTACATTATTGGAGTTTTAGTAAGGATCCCTAATTTTTTCCAAAAAAGAATTAACCTATAACCGCCCACCCGGGAATAGTGTAGCTTCCAAACAGTAACATTTTTTTCAAATCGGTTCAGTAGTTTCGGAGTCTATTCAATACAAACAAAAAAACAAATCTTTCCTCCTTATAATATTAGTAGGTATAGACTAGCCGTACTCACTAGCTTCGCTGGGCATTTAAAATTAACATTAATATTCATTGTCATTATTATTAGGGAGTCCAACACTCATATAAATATTAGCCTATCCATTAAGTACATGTACTTTCCTACATGGATACCAAGTTTCAAGTCAATCGGATGCATGGTTCAGTAGTTAGGTATAACGGAACATCCGTAAAAACCACTGTAGATTAATATATTAGTATAGATGTATATAGTAATGAATAAACAAAAAAAGGTTTTTACTGGCAATCTAACTTGAATGCTAGTTTTTTTTTATACACATAGATATATTTAATATTTAATATACATCCATTACAATGGAAAAGACATTTATATTTATCATACAAATATCTTCCCTTGGCGGGATTCGAACCCGCGACCCCCTTGTGTAGTGACCATGTCACTTACCACTACACCAGACGGCCGTTTTGAAGTAATGAGGGATTATTTATGGCACGGAGGCCTTTCCAGTTTCACCAGGACAGGTCGGCAAGCAAAGGCCCAGCCAGGAGGGGTGGGATTTGATAACAACTGCCCGAGCGCCTCCAAAAGAAACCTAACAACTTAAGAGCAGCTTTCAAGGGCAACTGAATATATCTACTACCGGATCGGAATCGCGACCCACAGAGAAGATCAAACTTTGCTAATTTTGACCACTTTTAATATTTCAATTACGAATGATATAAATGCAATTTTAAATTACGGTTTTTTTTGTTCTAAGATAACTTAAGGACATATTTGAGTCGACTATTATCAAAGCCGGCAATCTGACTTTTGGACAATGATTGGTAAATCAGAAAAACGAATTATTGACTTTGTACTCCATTGGCAGTCACAAAACTCTTCGGAACGACATCTTAGATAAATAACAGGTTAACTATTAACCTTTATTTAATGCAGGTTTTGAACCGTATTCTTTGAAGGAGACGATTATATTCAAATCAATCTGTATTGACATATCAATAATATTTTTTGTCCAAATGCACAGATTGCCACCTTTGATAATAGACGACTCATTTGTAGTATTAGTATTTTTACTTTCATGTTAATTTTAAGTGATTAAGTAATTTCAATAAAGTTTTTTACTTTCACTAAATGTATAAACTCGCGTGTTCCGTTAAAAGCTTTTTAAATATAATCCTTTTCAATTTACTATATGGATGTATAGTTGACAATGTAAGTTTCCTAAAGAACGAATACACGGCGGACTGTTTACGGAGGCAGCGAAATATTATACACCAGGTAACTGCATTACGATTACGGGTAATCGGTAATACGATCGCTTCGGTTTCTTTATAATGTGACATCAGCGCGAAATGCATACGTGAGAGAATGAGGTCTCCCAGGTGTGCGTGTGTCTCCAGCAAGTTCTACCGCCGGTTGAACTTACGGGGATTATGGTGGGATTATAAAAATAACAATAAAAATAAGGGGGGACGGAGAAGGGGGCTAGGGTCAAGTCACACGCGGTCAGCTGGTCCCAAACTAGGTATCTACCGGAACCAGAGACTCATACACAAACGTATACACGTTTAAATATATGCATATATAAGATAACTAGCTGTACCCGTCCGCTTCGTTGGGCATTTAAACTTGACATTATTATTTCTCACCCCCACAAAGATTCTCATCATTAACGCCCCTGCAACTGGTGTAGGATGTCCAACACTCATATAAATATTAGCCTATCCATGAAGTACATGTATTTTCTACATGGATACCAAGTTTCAAGTCAATCGAATGTATGGTTCAGTAGTTATAACGGAACATCCGTAAAAACCATTGTAGAGTTATATATTAGTATTTATATATTAATACGTGAAGCAAAAACTTTGTATCCCTTTTTACGAAAATTGCGCGGATGAAATTTTCCATACTTATAGAGAATATAGAGAAGAAGTGAACAATGCTAATATTTTTTTTAAATAATGCATAAAAGATACGTTAAATCAATAAAGAAAACATTACACACACTACATACCATGTATTAGACGCACATATGCATGCATACTATTTATTGTCAAACTTTTGTTCTTGACGTCTGTTTTCAAATTGAGAATAGATTAAATATTGTTTGTCTTTGTTAATATTTTTTATAGTGTAGTCTTGACGAACTTTGTGATTATAGAAGTATAACATACAATCATAATAGTGTACAAACTTACAATTCCAATGAATTATAGTCGAATTTCGACTACTGCGGGATCTCTAGTAAATATAAATATAAATAAACACACAGACGGAGAGCCAAACAAATCTATTCATCACATTTGAATCGAACGCATGCAACGCTTGCGAAGAGCTTGCATCGCTTACTCATCAAGAAATTTCTTGTTTTGTTCGGCGATTGTTTGGAAGATATCGTACCTAGTTACAAGATCGCCTATTGTGTACGTATAATCTTCGACCTGTCCCGGGATCAGATCGACCCGGTGCTGTTAGAACGCCCGCTGCACACTAAGACAGCATAAACGGTCTCCACACACGTAATCCAGGGGACCGAGTCCAGACAGGTACCGACGACCTATACGTTTCCGCCACAAAACTGTAAGTCCAAAGCGCTCACCTTCCTTGGACGTCCTGGCCCACGTCTCTTGGTGGTAACTGGAAGCGGCGATGGCGACCGCGTCTAGAATTTGAAAACGACAAATGATTAAGACAACGTACAGATACTGGTGGTAGGACGTGTCGAGAGTCCGCGCGGGTAGGCACCACCGCCCTTCCTATTTATGGCGTGAAGCAGTAATGCGTTTCGGTTTGAAGGGCGAGGCAGCCGTTGTAACTATACTCAGACTTTAGAACTCATATCTCAAGGTATATGGCGGTATTTACGTTGTAGATGTCTATGGACTCCAACAACCACTTTACACCAGGTGGGCTGTGACCTCGTCCACCCACCTAAGCAATAAAAAAAAATTGGATATAATATACAGATACCGCCACCTTGCTTATTTATGCTGCAAAGCAGTCATGCCTTCCAATATGAAGGCAATGGGTACATGACACAATTATGACTTGTAATCTCGTCTTAAGGTAAGAAATTTACGATGGAATGTTTGGGGGCTCCGATAACCACTTAACACCGGGTGAGATGTGAACTCCTCCAAATATAAACCTTAGTTATAGTTAGTTATCTTATTATCCCAAGGTGGGTGGCGCATTTACGTTATAGATGTCTATGGGCTCGAGCAACCATTTAACACTAGATGGGCTGTGATCTCGTCTTAAGGTAAGATATTTACGATGGAATGTTTGGGCGCTCCGATGACCAATTAACACCGGGTGAAATCAAAGCTCCTTCAAATATAAATCTTAGTTTTAAGGACCCACCCTTCGTTTCCTAACTGGCCTGCTGCCATCAGCCGAACGCGTCGTCATGGACAGCCTAGTTTCCGCGCCCTTCGACGTCGCCACGTCCACCTCCTGCTTTGCCAGGATCCCGCTCATTCTGTCTCTGAAGAAGCTGTCTTCGGCCACCTTCAGAGCTTCGAAGCACTTGTGCCCTTGCAAGGCGTATCGTATGATCTTCAGCACCTCGATCCTGCACAGGAGTCTGGTGTCGTCGCTCATCTTCTTGAACAGCGGGATCAGGGAGTTCATGAAGAGTTTGTCGTCGTCGAAGTGGTCGTCGGGCAGGATTGAGTTAGCGTCGATCTTGATCTCTAACGACGGGTTCTTGTCTATGACGGTTTGGTTGCATTTGTCCACGGTGTCCGGTCTATCGGTGACCTCCGCTTTGGTTTTTAGGTCGAGCGGTTTATCGATGACCTCGGTTTTGATCTTGGGGATGACGTCCTCGGGCGGAGCGTGTTGCGGCGAGTTGGACACTTCGGAGAACGACTCGTATTTGTCCTGGGAGTATCTTGGTTTTCTGAGAACGAAAATAGCTCCCGTTCAACTCTCATTGATATTATTACGTGATTATCGCACCGGTTTAACCCACAGACGCAGCCCACTGAGTTTCTCGCCGGATCTTCTCAGTGGGTCGCGTTTCCGATCCGGCGGTAGATTCTGCGAGGCACTGCTCTTGCTAGGGCCGGTGTTAGCAACACTCCGGTTTGAGTCCCGTGAGCTCACCTACACGTTAGGGCGACGCTGATATAGCCTCTCAAGGCTATCAGCATAGATAGGGGGAAAAAAGCACCGGTTTTGAGATATGAGGTTTTTACGTCTCATTGTAGTAATACGGCTTTCAGAGACTTCGAAGCCTTCGACTGCTGGTACCAACCAAGGGTCGTGGTGTCTGGCGTATAAAAGCGCAGAAACAAATCAGGTTGAATTGAAAGATGGCAAAGCGTAAGAAACGATACGATTTTTTAGTGCTTAGATAGGTGGACGAGCTCAGAGCCCACCTGGTGTTAAGTGGTTACTGAAGCCTATAGACATCTACAACGCAAATGCGCCACCCACCTTGAGATATAAGTTCTACGGCGTCAGTATATCCACCACGGCTGCCTCGCCCTTCGAACCGAGACGCATTACTGCTTCACGGCAGAAATGGGTGGCGGCATTTACGTCGTAGATGTCTATGGACTCCGGTAACCCCTTAAACCAGGTGGGCTGTGGGCTCTTAACGCGAATACCAAACGAAAGTACTACCATCCGAACACTTACTTGTTCTGTAGCGCCCTCAGTAGAAACGACATCTGCCTGTGGTACTGATATCTTTTGCTGTTCGGAGCGCACTGGTCCGGCAGACACTTCCCCTGTCTGTAAGTCTTCGTGTACGAGTCCCGGATGGAGCGCCATCGTTTCTGAACTTCTTTACCTGCACAAAGAACAGAGATATCACTTTACTGGTGGTAGGACCTCTTGTGAGTCCGAGCGGGTAGGTACCGCCACCCCGTCTATTTCTGCCGTGAATAATGCGTTTCGGTTCGAAGGGTGGGGCAGCCGTTGTACTACACTTGAGGCCTTAGAACTCATATCTCAAGGTGGGTGGCGCATTTACGTTGTAGTTGTCTGTGGGCTCCAGTAACCACATAACATCAGTTGGGGTGTGAGTTCGTCAACATATCTAAGCAATTTTTTTTTAACATAAGCTAAACATATTTCTGAGTTGGAACATTTAACCCAAGTAGTGGCCTCCCGGTAGTCGAAATTCGACTATAATTAATTAAAATTATAAGTTTAAACATTATTATGATTATATTGTCAAAGAATTATTAGACTTCTATAATCAGACTTCATCAAGACTACACTATAAATATTAATCTATTCTCAATTTGACCACAGACTTTACAATAAACAAAAGAGTATAATTACTTAAATGCGTGTGTGTGTGTGTCAAATATACGGTTATTATTTTTAAAATAATTTAATGTATTTTTTATCCATAAAAAAAAAAATTGCATTCTACAATCCTTCTCTATATTCTTTAAAAGTGTGAGAAATTTCATATTCCTCCGTCCGCGCCATTTTCGTAAAAAAGCGTACAAAGTTTTAGCTTCACATATTAATTTAAAGATGCCTTTTTATTTAGGTAGGTACATATATGTTTTGGTCTATGCACGCTTTTCTTTTTCTACCAGGCCTCGTTAATTCGTGATTGATTAACGTGAAGTATTGTAGAGTTATCAGCACCACAAGTTTTTCAATATGTTTAATACCAACAGTTTAAGATAGATGGCGTTAATCGCTTCGATAACATGGGTCAACACCAAAATTGACTTTGATTGCAAACCATAAAATTTCGATATTTTAGATCGTAATTAGACGAAAAAATTAATTGACCACATAAATGAAACAAAATGCATCAGCATCGTATTTACACTTTCGTGACATTTTAAGTTTTTCTGGCCTTGTGCAAAACAACGTAGACACCCCACTCTCATAGCGCGGTTTTTTTTAAAGTATTAAAATAATTAAAATTTATTATAAAAAAATTGAAAAATGAGTATTATTACTATAACTACCACAAAAGCAAACTTTATACCAGAAAAAGGTATTTTATTTTCGTTTTTGTGAATAATTAACCGGAAAAACCTAGTATATAAACGTTAGGACAATCAACGATTTTTTTTTTGTAGAGTTGTGTAATTTAAGTGCTTATCAAATATTTAGGCTGTGACTAACACAGCGAATCATAGTGACCAGTGTGCGTAGTGCGAGTTTTTTAACGTTCTCGATAGCGTAAAAGTTAACGCAACTTTGTATGCAGTTCGAAAGTTTGCCTACGTTGGCCGCTAGGGGCGCTGTTCCAACTCGATATAAATTTGAGTTAACTTTTACGCTATCGAGAACGTTAAAAAACTCGCACTAAAGACACAATATACAATAACCCACATTTATGTATGAAATGACTGACTTATCCTGTGCTCCTACGAATGCGAACAGCGAAATTGTATACAATGATAAGGTATACTTCACGATGAATCTATACAAATAAAGAAAATTGGAGTGACTGCTTGTAAAAATAAAATAACCACTTCTTACTAAATGTGTAAGTATCTATACCACAGTACTTAAACCAAAATGTTTTTTTTTATTTATTTTTGTTTGTCTGTCTGTTTGTTCCGGGTAATCTCTGGTACGGCCGATTTTGACGAGACTCACTGATAGGTAGCAGATGATATAAGGAGTAACTTAGGCTACTTTTTTTTAGACTAGCTTCGCCCCGCGGCTTCACCCGCGATACGACAATAACGGCGGGTAACATCGCGGGACTCAGATATCAATAATAAAATTTAATGTTTCCGAAGCGAAGCGAGGGCGGGTAGCTAATAAAAAATAAAATACTTAATTGCGTTTTCTGTGATATAATAAGAAATCAACATTTAAAGCTATTAATCTCTTTTAAAATTTAACAATATTATTACTATTATACCATACATTACATTTTTTATAGTATGTATTAAATATTATACTATACAGAACTGAACTTTTTTCTTACTGAATGACAGACAGATGAGTGATTCCGTTTAAAAAAAATCCTTTTTAAAACTACAGAGTTTTAAATGATAAGGTTTTTCTTTTTTAAATAATGTCCATCTATTTTCCTACGTAGGTGTAAATGTTATCACACAAACGAACGACCTTGAACTTGATTCCGACTTGCTCACGACCATGTTTATAATACACGTACTAATAAACATGAATTATAAATATAAAAACAACTTTTTTTTTGTATTATAAGTAGGTATACCTAATGATTTCTTAACGATTCAAATTGGAGCACCAGTTTCTTAACTCGACTAAGCGGCAGATATAAAGCAAATACAACCCGTTGTGTCATTATTAATTTTAGACGTAATGATATCATTATAATGTTTAATAATAATTATTTAATGAAACCGTTAATGTGTTTAAAAATGTTTTACTTAATGAAATCATTTAGTGTTATTAATAAAATTATTTAACGATACCATTGTAACGTTTAATAATGATGTTTGTGTTGTAATAAAATTTAATTTTTTTTTCTCCACTTCCTTCGCAGAGACGGTTAGGTGAGCTCACGGACTCAATCTGAGAGTATTTGCTAAAAATAGCCCTAGCAAGAGCAGTGCTTCGCTGAATCTACCACCGGATCGGAATCGCGACAAACTCAGTGGACTGTGGGTTAGTTCGCTCGTCGAACTCCAGTTATATCGAGTGATACATAATACTATTACTACATTATCGCATCAATACATATAAAGGTAGAGATAATTTTTTTTGATCAGGAGGAAATCGCCGGACTTCCGCCCTCCACTGGGGATGGCGGGCGGAGAATGTCGGAGTCGAACCGACTAAAACCTCCTTCGCTCAACAACCAACGTCCAAACCTCGCATTAGACAGAACTCATGAAAAGGCAAAGGGGGGAAAGTGAAGCGTTTAATGCGGATCACATCTCCCCCATCACCCTCCCCCTCGGGACGCCGGACCGGCGGTCGTCGGCGCCACGACCACCAGCCCTCTCGGTCGGGAGGCTATCCAAAGCCCGCCTATATGGCGCCGGTTAGAGTGAGTTATCCTACCGAATACCCCGCTGGGCCGGAACCAGCGTGGGTCGAGGATAGCCGGCCTTCCATCACCCGGATGTTCTTGCGTAAAACGCGTGCAGAGCAGCTTGCACGTAGTCTTCTAAGGTCCCCCTATAAGATAGCGGTAGGTTATTAATTACATAAAAAACCCAGCACCAGAGAACCCTTTTTCAATAACAACCGACCTACCTAACGAACGACGTTACCTCCATACGCTACACACGTTATCAAATATAATTTTTGGTGTATCTTACAGTTTGTTTAACGATAAGAAAAACATATATTCTATAATCGTTTATCTATCTATAGGTTTTTTTTTCTATTTTCATATTTCGGCACATGGTTCGTAGTTTGTTTAAGGATAATTCTATAGTGTGTTTTATGGTGTAAGTTTTTTTTATAATACCCCCTAATACAGCTTTGGTATTGAAGCGAGGGTGTCCGGGTCAATCAATCATTATAATTTGGAGGTACGCATATATTGCATACACTTCGATATACACATTGGATAATATATTTCGGATTAGTTACAATAATAACTTATTATCAGTAGGCATCGGAATTATGTATGTCGGAGAAGCCACAATTATTAACACCATCATCAGACATCATAGGGGCGAATAGGATGATCGAGCTAAGAGAAATATTGAGTACACCAATCACGTTTGTTGTCTTAGAACAATTTAGAAATCTTCTCTTGAGGTTAGGAAACGAAAACTAATGACAATTCTTAGGACGGAGGCACCGCTCTTCGAGAAGGCTGGTTTGTAAGTGCGATGGCGTCTACGCGCCTCCATCGACTAGCTCTGTCGTAGCACGAAGTTAGCCGAGTTCCGACGATACCACAATCGTGCTGCCATCTCTCGGGAATCGTGCTGCGTTTCGCTTAGCTACCAAACTAATGACCATCTCCGACATATATTATAATTGTGAACAATTCACACATGGTCGCCGCTTCGATAAAACGGTACGACATCAGAATCCTCTCATCGTGGCCACCGGAAACTACATAGCCGATCCTGCGGACCAAATCGTAAGCAGTCGACGTCGCCCAAAACACGTCATCTTAGATGCTCCGGATCCACTAAGGGTGTTTTTAGGTACCAAAGCACTGGTCATCATCCTCGTGGAACCCGTCGCTTGCGACGAAGGGCTCGGCGAGTAAATTAAACCCACAGACACAGCCCACTGAGTTTCTCGCCGGATCTTCTCAGTGAGTCACGTTTCCGATCCGGTGGTAGATTCTGCGAGGCACTGCTCTTGCTAGGATTCGTGTTAGCAACGTCGTCAGGTTTGAGTCCCGTGAGCTCACCTACTAGTTAAGGTTACGCTGATATTGTCTCTCTAGACCATCAGCTTAAAAATAGATACGCGTAAGGCAAGTGATGCCATGTCCGAACGGTTGAATATAAATACGCATTTAGAGCAATAACGAATATTTCCTTATCGCGGACGGGAAAGCTAAATTCATTATCTATATAATTTTATAAATAAAAACAAAACAATACAATTAATATATCTTACGATCCGAAATAATCGCATCAAAAAACCCTGCCACGCGTAGCGTCTAGATTACTCTAGATTATATTTCAATTCTCTTTGAGATAACCAGACAATACACGCCACTTTCAGCCGAGAAAGAAAGTTCCAGAAAAGCGTAGGACGAACTCCTTGGTGAGGAGAAATTATTAAGTACGTGGTTTTAAAGGAAAATTTAGTTTAATATTCAAGTATTTTAAGCTGCTTTAAAAGAATGGTGAAGGAACATTACTTATCCGCCTAGTGTTGTTTGCTTGTTTATACTTT